GATAAGAGACAGGCCTAGGGCTACTTACATCATATTTGATTTTTTTGTTGTTGATATAAACGATTAACCGTATCATTTTGGTATATCATTATCAATATAATTATTAATCTATTTGCCTATGTAGGTCATAAATGTGTATATAATTAGTATAATTGTAATTGTGGGATCGATGTATACATAATATATTATTATTATTATTATTATTATTATTATTATTATTATTATTATTATCATCATCATTAATATTTTTTATTATTGTTATCATTATTATTTATTATTATTTTTATCATCAATATTAGTATTACTATTATCATTATAAATATTAGTATTAATATATTTGCCTATGAGGCCCTGTGTATATCAAGGACGCTAACTGCATGACAGTTGTTGACAGTAATTAGTATTGCTGTACACGCACCGTACTTGTGTGAATAAGCGCCGGGCGCTTAAAATATTTTTGGCTCTTTTTAAGTGGCCCTTATGAAAACAAAGTGGAAATTGAGGGGGCGCTTATGGAAATAGATGAAAATTGAAGGGGTGCTTATGGGAAATTGGAAAATTCAAGGGGAACCTATTTTTTAAATCGAAGATAAACGAATAGTTTTGGTGAAGAAAAGGTAATCGCCGCGAAAATGGCTCATGATAAGAATGTTGGGGGTATTTACACAACAGCGGATGAAATTAGTGGTGGTGGTGTTGTTGGTGGTAGAGGTGGTAAGCGTGTTGGCCATCTGCGAATTCAGATTAGCAGGAACATTGCAGGGTTTCTTGCTTAGATAAGAGAGTGATGAAGTCATTTTTTTTATTGACTGAAAATGGCCATAGAGTATTTTAATTTTTAAATATTAAATATTGTAGTTCTAAATCCAAAAAAAGGGTAGCAATCCAAAGGGTAACAAGAACGGGATTCTAAAGATGCATCAAAACTGAAAACCATGTTAAACTTAATGGAGACTGATAGACCGACAGGTGGATAGATGGACCGACAATGCTAAGATAGATGCGAATAGTTGATGCAGAAAATTAATTTGGTGATGTACTTTACGGTACTCTATGATTGAATATTTTCATTAATCGAGGGGAGCTTATTTAAAATTGAGAGGGCTTAAGACAATTTTCACGTTAAAAGGGGCTCTTAGTTGCACAAGTACGGTACGGTATTAATTACCTTCATTTGGGTATCACTTGGGTATATCATTATCGATATAATTATTAATCTATTTGGCTACGTAGGCCATATGTGTATATAATTAGTGTAAGTGTGATTGTGGTATCGATGTATATATAATATATTAGGCCATTATTATTGTGAGTATTATTACTACTACTATTATTATTATTATTATTATTATTATTATTATTATTATTATTATTATTATTATTATTATTATTATTATTTATTATTATTATTTGTTATTTATTATTATTTATTATTACTATTATTATTATTACTATTATTATTATTATTATTATTATTATTATTATTATTATTATTATTATTATTATTACTTATTATTATTATTTTCATCATCAATATTATACTATATCATTATAGATATTATTATTAATCTATTTGCCAATGTAGGCCCTGTTTATATTATAGGACGATAATTGTATAACGGTAATTGTTGACAGTAATTAGAATTACTGTACACATATACTAAATACCGTCAACAACGCTTGTTTTTTTTTTGTTTTTTTTTATTGCTTTTAACATACATAAAACAACATAATATAATATAATGCAATATTACAATACACAATCTCATCTTCTAAAAAAAAATTATTAGCATTACAAAATCCAAAACCAATATAATATACTGTACTGTTATATAAAATGAAATTAAAATTAAATAAAAATTTAACTAATATATATATATATGTATATAATATAAATCAAGATAGCCGTTAACACTGTTAAATCATATATAAATCATCAAAGAAAGGTAAATACAGTGTTCGAATAAAGGACTTAATAAATACATCGTGTAGCATAGCTCTCAACGAATGTATGTCCTGTAAATAAATGAATAAAGAAATTGTGTAATAAAATGCCTCTGGCGGGACTCGAACCTGCGACCTCTCGCTGTCAAGGCGAGTGTCATTACCACTAGACCACGGAGGCTTCATGGTTGAACAGATTCAAATACCACCAGATACACTCTATTACACAATAGTATATATATATGTATATATATACACATACACACATACACACATATATATATATACACATACACATACGCACACATATACATATATATATATATATATATACATATACACACATACACACCCATACACACACACACACATGTACATATATAAATAATAAATAAATAAATAAAATTAAAATAAAATTACACACAGAGGAAAAAAAACAAAAAAAAAAACAATTAAAAAAACAAACAAAATAAAAAAATCGATTAGTAAGCAAAGATGAAGGGGAAAAATAAAAACACATATGCCTATTTACAATGGTGGGAGGTATATGGTTATATTATAGTACTGTACAGTATTGTAATTATTTGTTATTATTTCTAAACACCCAAGCGTCAGTGAGATTGTTTACAGTAAAAATCAAAAATTTGCTTTAGTTTTCTGACTGTAATTATTTTTACAGGTGTTAAAACTGGTGAATGTGTGACGTACATTTACCCAAATGGATCAACAGACAATACTTCAACTTGCGAAATTGAAGCTTGGTGTCCTGTGGAGTATAATGAGACACCACTGTAAGTATTGTATTGCTCCTTGGCATGAAGCTGTGTTAAATACTCAAAACAAAAAAAAGGTCCTTATAATTAAATCCAACGAATTTCGTTGTTTCTCAGGATTAAAGGGATTAAAGGTACTTAATTCCATAAAAAATGATTTTAGAATTTGAAGTTTTGATCTACAGTGTTTGACCATTTCCAAGAATACTTTTGGTACGTTTCACCCTTACTGTTTTTGCGTTCCTCGCCTATCATATCGTCAGTTATGACTATGCCTTGCGATTAAATGAAAATCTCCTACACAATACCTTGGTTAGAGAAAAATATATTATTTTTGATCTACAGTGTTTGACCATTTCCAAGAATACTTTTGGTACATTTCACTCTTACTGTTTTTGCGTTCCTCGCCTATCATATCGTCAGTTATGACTATGCCTTGCGATTAAATGAAATCTCCTACACAATACCTTGGTTAGAGAAAAATATATTATTTTATAATTTTTTAAATTATATATAGATATATAACACGCATATCCATTTCAGATAAAACTGCTCAAAACTTTTTTTTAATTTCTGGTATACTAATCAAACCTCCTCCTAGTTACCCATAATACTCCTGGGCAAAAGAGAGGCAAGTACAGACAGTGTCTTGGCCAATGATACAAGCAACATGATCAGCGATCTCTCGATTAAAATTCTTTTAAAATATTTCCTCCACCTTAATTCTTTCAAAGTGTAACTTTCTGGCATTTGACATGTATGCTGTGATCAATTGTTTTAATTTTAAAATTATTTTGTGTAAAACGGTACTCATAGAAATATGTGCAGAATAGATTTTTCAGGCCTTGCTTTTCGCCACTTTTAATACAGAATATAATCATACATAAAGTGTTAGAAATCGTAATCAGTAATTATAAATGTCAGCTTAAATACTACAGTAATTCTTGTAGACATATAAAAATCACACTATTTACTAATTTTGTTTTGCAGCAAGAATGAAGCTATGTTATTAGAAGCTCAAAACTTCACAGTTCTTATTAAGAACAGCATTAGATTTCCAAAGTTTGATGTTGAAAGGTACGTATTAACTCTTTTTTTAATATTTAAAATGTTATAGAAAGAACTCAATTAAATTTACAGTACTTTTTTTACTATTTCAGAGTTGAACATTTTCAATACTTATTAATCATTTCAATTCCTTTCAAGTTTAAAATTTTAAAATTAATTTTGGTTTTCATCCTGTTGCACAATATAAATGAAAAGAGATACAATAACGTATTATTTAGACCAAAATTATAAAATTTATGAAACGTGTATGATGTTTAACAGCCATTTTGAAGGAACGGCGTGATTAAAGATTTATGACTTCACAAGACAGCTCGTTCCAGAAGGGAACAATTCTTTATAATAATAAAAATAGATGAGCTCTACTAGTTTGATATTGAGTAAAACATTGGATATGAAGTACTTTAAAGACTAGTTTTATTAACAATACTCTAGCTTTCGCGCGCAGTACACTTCTTCATGTGAATGAAGGAGTGGACTAAGTGAATGAAAACTAGTGTATTGTCAATAAATCTAGTCTTTAAAGTACTTCATATCCAGTGTTTTCAAGGTTTTTGTAAAAAAAAATAATAAAGAGTACCGTATAGACCTAGCCTATATTTAAAGCTACAATTCAAATTGACCTTTGTAACATTTTTCCAGGCAAAATATAGCTAAGGAGATCACTGATGCAGAACTTAAAACATGTCATTACGACAAAATCTCAAAACCATCATGTCCAGTGTTTGGCTTGGATTATATTGTCCAAGAGGCTAAACAAAATTTTTCAAAGCTTGCATACCAGGTAATAAATATATTTATGAATACATAGTTTATTAACTAAAATATTTATAGCAGTTAACGAATTAGAGCAACATTGGTTGATATTTAGATCAATTTAAAATGTACACGTTGAAATCTGTTACTACTGAGTAGCCGTAGCTATTATTATTATTTTTTTTTTTTTTATGACATTTTTAGTCAGTATGGCCATCATTTATGAAAACGGTTTACACTGTTTTTCCATAGTGCTCCGTATAATTTTATTATACATACATTGAGTGATTTGAGGAGCATGGTTAACACAAAGGTGATAGGCCTATCGAGACTTCAGGTCTACTCTGACCACAGACCGTGTCGTCTGCATTTTCGATATTTAGGGGTTTTGTGTAATCACAAACACCGTTATAATTTGTGATTTCATCACCATTAGGTATCTGTGCACCAATAATTATCATTGAAATCTCATTAAAATTTACATTTCATTTTAATCCACTGTCATTGAAACAGGAAATACGTTACAGGGATGTATATATGTGCACATATATCCTGATGAACATAGTAGAATGGAAACAAAAGAAAATTATATAAGCGGTTGACGTTTTTTCGGGATATATAAAATGTATTATATTACGAATATTTATTGTGCCGATCGTTTTGTTTATCTGTTGTTTATCATTTAATTTCTGTTTGATCATAGAAATGAACCTATTAATTGTTTAATCCGATGTTATTTATTCAGTAGGCATTACGCTGAAGAATAGAGCAGGCGTTCCCGAAATATATATAATGTGAATTTTGTTTAATTGTATTCAAAACCTTCTTTCTAGCGGATTGTATTATTTCTCGAATCTAATAGGCCTACATTGTCGTTAAGGATAATCATTTTACTGCTTTTGATAAGAGTACATTTATTTCATGTTTGAGTTAGAAGGAGTTTTTTTTTTTATCTCGTAGTGTTTGCTCTTATAACCTCGGATATTGCTATAGGGCAATTTTATTTTGACGTTTCAGCCAAGATAATATGAAATTTGACAGGAAACCGGTTGCAACATTTTTTTTTTTTTTTTTTTTTTTTAGTGAAAGCGACGTGATAACGTAAGCTAAAATCGTCGTAGCACGCTAGACAGGAAACCGACGTGTTGAATATCTCTGCGATACGTCGATTAATCACAAATCGACAGGAAACCGAGGTTTTGTTGGATGAACTCGCGTACGTGACGTACGATTCTTATGAAAAAGTTGACTTGGCGCCAACTTTCCATAAAAACCGTAAGCGCACAGATATGCTTTCGAGAATCAGGATTGCAATTAAATTTAATCAATCAATTTTATTATACAAAATACAAGATAAATTTATTGTAACGTATAAAATGATACATACAATTTTTTTTTCAGTTGCATAAAAAAATACTGTAGGCTACAATTGAAGACATACAAAATCTGAAATAATAAATAAAATGCTAAAAATAAATATATTTATATTTATATTATAAAATTGTAATCTGACATTTTTACAAATAAATGCTTTAGCTCTTTGTATAGAAATATCGAATATTCTTTGAGAAAATATATTTGAAAAAATAATAATGATAAAGTTAGCAAATCAGGATTTGTAGGCCTTCTATATTGTGCTGGACTAGGTTATTGTATCAAACTGCGAAATTGTCCTCGAATTCCGCCGGGTTTGATGACTGAACCAAAGTTGTTTACGTACTTCCGTATTCCGTAGCCGTGTCTCAGTCGTTCTGCGGTTTTATATGGAACGCCAAAAGAGCAAAAGGGGATTGGAATGTAAGTGTCTGCATCACCAACATTGAGGATTCTCATTATTTTCTTATTTTCTTTTCATTTAGGGGGGTGTGATAGGAATTTATATAAAGTGGAATTGCAACTTAGATAGGAACCATGATGCATGCCAACCAGAATATTCCTTCGAAAGGCTTGATAATATTAGAGATAAAGATGCTTCTTTAGGATATAACTTTAGGTAAGTTTATTACGTAACTGTTCCATGTCAACAATATATCTTACCACCTAAGCTACTAGTAATGTTATTATTATAACCATCATACGACCATACATTTGGGTGTGACTTTACTTGCTAGTGGCGATTACACGCACAACTAGTAATACTACGCTGGGTGTGGAGGCGGTTGCATGTTTGTATGATTGATTCTGTATCCAGTGGCCAGAAAAATGAAAAATCTTTAGCAATTATCTTCATATGTGCGCTATATAAATTCTATGCAATAAATAATAATAAATACCATAATTTCAAACAGGATACAGCACCAAATTTACCATTTTTTCAGGGTGACCCAAAAAACGAAACCCTGATTTTTCTTTTATTTTAATGATAATACATCAGGCTGTTAACAAATAAAAAATGACATCTGTGTGTGAAATTATCAACAGTCTTCATTTTAAAGACAAACCTATATGGGTGTCTACAAAGCAAAGACCCGAAAAACGAAGACCCACCATTTTTCTCTTTAAATTTACTGGATGGTTGTGCCGCTTAATAAAATTGAATGAAATGTTTGAATGAATAAAAAGATTTATTAGGGTGCTTATTGTGCTGTGAGATTATGAATGATGTGGGAATGGCATGGTTGACCTTACAACCTTTGATCTCCAAAGGCTGTGGGTTAGAATTTACTCTAATGATTGAATATTATGGCGAGAAACCATTTTTCTTTTGTATAATTTTTATATGATTCTCATAATGTTATATAGGTTTGGAAAGTTTTACGTTAAAGATGGAATTGAGTATCGAACACTGACTAGAGCATATGGTATATTATTTGAGATAATTGTTTCTGGAACAGCAGGCAAATTCGACTTCATAACATTGATGTTCAGCCTAGGGGCTGGTTTTGCTTGGTTTTCCATAGTAAGTTTTCTCATAGAGTTAGGGAGCTTTCGACGTGACGCTGGAACGGAATTACTCATGCGTGACCGTCCTACCAGGCGTCCTACGTTAATTTTCTACATATACGTAGATTTGGCCAAATTGCGTCCTCCTAGGATTCACGCGACGAGGAGGAGAACTTAAATGTTCTCGCATGCGCAGATGACTTTTAGTGACGTCATTACGTTCTACGTCCTACCATCGTCATGCAGTCGAAAACTTCCTAAAATAACAACTAGAGTGCTAACTCGCCGATGAAGCAATGCAGAGTTGTGTATCTGTGCCATAGAGCTGTTATTATATCTCTATGATCTGTACTCAACACGATGGCCGCGCGCCATAGAAAAGCGCCACTTTAATGCTCAGTATACATAGGCCTAGGTCTATTACTGTACAGCCATTAAGACCATTACTATTTCATTAATCATTATTATTATTATTATTATTATTATTATTATTATTATTATTATTATTATTATTAAAAATAATAGTAAGTCTAGTCAAAAAGATGCCAACTACAGTATCTAGGAATAAAAAATTAAATCGTGTAAGGTACACTGCAACGCTTGAGCCTCAACAAAAGCTGTACCAAAGGTCTTACTACAACTACCGCTAAAATAAGACTAACTAGGCTTATGTATTATTTCACTCTGTGTAGACCCCATAAATTGATAATATTCCAGGAATCCTAATTTTGGAAAGAAAAATCACACAGGGACAACTTATTTTTTCTTGCATGGTTGTACCATCACATATTTACTCCATGGTACCATTAAGGAATGAGTTGCTGTGTTTTGATATGCTGTGTGATTACAAACAGGGCCCACTCTGTGTCGAGGACGAGCTGTAACTAAAGACGAACTATAGCTGAAATTATGCATGACTTCAACATACGAAGCCACGCCCCCTCGGCTGAACCCGTTGTATTTAGCAAAACTTCCACGAAGAATTGAGGGCGCCATTGAAAACGTGTGGAATCTAAGCATCTTTCCCGAAGTTTAGAACATCAAATGCATTGAAGTTAGCGCTCTAGTCTAGTATAACTCTATGGTTTTTCTTTTTATTTGAAAACTTAATATAGATCTTAATTTTCATATCATTTATATCCATAAACCTCCCGAAGGAGAAGCAAGTTTGTACAATGTAATGAAATACAACGTAAAGATGTTTAAAAAGGCAATAATAATCTACTCTAGTCTAATAACATGTTTTGTGAATATTATAATAAAGTATGTTTTGTTATTATTATACTTAAATGAAAAACATAGTTGTCATTTTAAATAAGGATGATGTTAATGATAATAATAATAATGAAAATGATATTGAAGGGCATTATCCCATAACAAACAAATGTCTTTTTTTTTGGTAATTTTAATGGATATACATTCGGGTTCTTTTTGTGAACTTATTTATAAAAAAAATATATATATAATGTACTTTTAGTCTTGTTGACTCTTGGTTCTGTTATTTTGTTGTTGCTAGGCAAATTTAGTGTGTGACCAAATCACTTTCTTCCGCCCACCCTCCTGCTCACCCTGCGTATCGTGCTGCCACTGTGATAACGAGACATTGATCAAATATAAATACGATTATATGAATGATGATGCTGAGAATAAAGTAAGGATTTTCCTAAATGTGAAAACACGAAATCAAGGAAAGATTAGATTAGAAAAAGTAGTGTATGGTTATATAGGGCTAAAAATTACCAAAATAATAACTTTAGCAGCTAACCACCAAGCTATTAGTTACTCCACTCCCTGTTTCCGCTGCTACTGCTATTGTTGACGTTGCTGCTGATGCTTTTGCTGTTGCTTTTGGTGTTCTGTTGTTAACACTGTTCCTGTTGTTACTGTTGATGTGTTGCTACACTACTGCTACTTCTCATGTTGTTGCTGCTACTACTGCTGTTGATGTTGAGACTGTTGCTCTCGCGTTATGTTATTTTTGTCTGACCCGTCGGGAAGAGCTGCCCCACCCCCCGCATCGTGGACAAAAGTCACAATTAGTCGGGGAGTAAAAAAATGTATATATATGTTCTACGTCCTATTATTAGACTCCATTACATAAGCATTTGAAACGCTTAAATTGTCATATTTTCGGGGGCTTCGCTCCCAGCTGAAACACTTTTGAGAGATTTTGAGCTACATTTTTTTCTCGTTGGGGACATCGGCCTACCCGTCGGGGACACCTCCACACATTCTGACAGGAAAATCCCGCGCCTCTTTTGGTCTGATGATGAAACTACTCATCTTCAAACTTTACTCGCATGGTTTCCTCTCTGCGCATGGTATGATGACATAACATGACCTGAGACAACTATAGAAGTATAGTTGTCTCAGACATGACACATTGATTGACGGTATAAAGTACTGATATAATATTTCTTAGCATTCATAGTCTCGGCATGTGTTTAGGTTTCTGACGTTTTTAACAATAAATGTTATTAGGTATTTGACATCATGGTGTCAAATACCTAAGCACATTTAATTCTAAACACGTCAAGATCATAAGCACACTTAAAACGCGTAGGGAAAGCAAGGATTTTGTTACATTCGCAAAAGCTAAATTCCAGCAAATTCCCGTAAATTTAACTGATTATATTTCTAAGCCAGGTTTATCCGTCTCGTTTCTGGTAATTACGCACTGGTACCGTCGAACGTAAATGTTTTCAGATACAGTTATTTCTGCGGTGCGGTTGTCATGTGGAATAAGCTTACTAGTTTAATAAAAAGTTCAGAACCGCTCGGTGAATTTATGAGATTGTTAAGACGTTCAATAAATAATGAAAATAAATTTTTTTAAAAATTAAAAAATTGGAAAAATACAAAAGTACCAGTGGCCACTGTTGCACCGGTCGTGGTTCGATATCGTTTGGCAATGTTATGCACTGTCCGAACGTGTGGGCATGTAGATCGATGGAGTAGGCGTTACGCCAACAGATGTTGAGTTGCATCTACAAAGGTCGAGTTGCGACTAGCGTAGCAGGGGTCGCTGGCCGAAGTAAGAAAAGCAAAAAAAAAAAAATAAATAAATAAAATAAAATAAAAAATGATGTTTTCCGTCCAGGGCGCGTTTTCTTTTATTTTGGACTTCGAGTATGTGGAACCTATCCTTTTGCTTCCTTGTTTTATCTGTGTCTGATGTTTTTTGTGAGTCGCAATAAATTAAATTAAAAAAAAAATTAAGCTAGGCCTATGTCTAAACATGTTCAGCTTTTACATGTGTCACTGAAGGCTTGATTTGATTTAGGCCGATTAAATATCTCCACTGCACATACAAACATAAATATACAAAACAGAAAAAAAAGCACGTCGAAAAACGAAATAGAGATATTTGGATAACCCTCTTAAGCCCCTATTAAGGAACTTATTTTCCAGAGGGGTAAAAAAAACATACCATGGACAGACAGACTGGAAATGTATTGCGTGGAGTGTTTAAATTCTCCAAGCCTGTTTTTACAGTGTATTATATCAGTCATTGTTGTTGTGATTATTGTTGTTGTTTTGTTTGCTGTTGCATGCTGTTGTTAAACATATTATTATTTAGGTTTTATTATAAAAGTGCTCATCTTCTAACTTTAGCATCCTTAGATTAGTTCTTCGTAACTTAGTTGAGGAAACTCTAATATAAAGTACTGATCATTTTTTGTCCTTACTCACTGGGACACATTAAAATGAAAAGGGAAACCAATTTGTTGATTCACTTCGCTTTTTCTTTTTCCTCTCTATTTTAATGTATCTATTACCCAATTTTTGTTTGGGTTTGTTTTAGTTTTTTAATGTATTGTATATTGTTGTTTTGTATGTTCTGAGAGAAATAAATAAAATGAAGAAATAAAATGAAATAAAGGAAATGCAATGATTCTTATTTAGAACTGCTTCTATTTGAAAACAAAAATACATTTGATTAATTAAGAAATATTTACATAAACCTTGGAGCTACAGCAGCCAAACCGTTTTTGTTGCTCATAAGCCCTTTATTTTCTTTACAGACTGCACGAAACCCTAAACCTCAAGGCATCGCGATGCAGCAAATGCAGGCTGATAACAAAGTTTAATGCATTTGCATTTCATGTGACTGTGGTAAAGTATTCTTTAGAAATGTTTACAGCATTGGTTGCCGCAAATTGGCAATGAATAAATTGAGCTCTCTTGAGTGGTGTTTTAGTATTATGCAAATGATACGGTAAAGTACTAGTAGTATAATTAGTGAAGAAGTTCCGGTGTGCCCTTTGTCGTGAAAGCAATCATTTTATGTATCTTAATATGAATCTTAATGAATGAACAAGAAGAAGCATGTTGCTATTTTTTAAAACGTGGCAAAGAGCAAGTAGACAAGATCAAATGATAGAAAAATGTATGGTTTCTTTATTTTGACACATACTGACAGTAGACAGTTGCTTATGGTGTCAAAGCGTTCAGAAATATTAATTTATTGGCCTATTTAGTCGAGAATGATAAAAAATTCCATTATTACCCTTTAAATCATATGAGCATTAAAGCATTATTATACCATTATTTTCTCCATGGTTATACCTAGTAGACAATTGCTATTGGTCATCACAAGTACATTTTTTGCTCTGTCAAAAATGCACTGCGCTGTGACACCGTCCGAGTAAAAGCGCTTAATAAAATTGTTCAAATAATTATATAATGATTATTATTATATAGGATTAAAAGGCTGATCCTTTCCAAGTTGCGATTAGTGGCAATATATATATATTTATGTTTTTGTAGTAACACAAATGTCATTAGTAATGTAGCTGCAGATAGTGAATTATAGAAATAAAAAACTTGAATAAACACTTCCCACCCTCACAGCCTAAATAGACAGTGAGGTTGGGAATGGCTTAGAAATCCATTGACCATTTTTACATTACTCTACAATAGTCTGCAGGCTCGAATCTCAAAGGATATTTCTATCATCATGTACCATTATATATAGGCCTACTAATTTAAGTATATAATAGTATATAATATTATATACTAATTTAAGTAGGTAAGGACAAAATATTTGAGAGGATTTACTGTCCAGACACGTGCACAGCTAGCTCTGGAAGAAATATATCGTAGCACCATATTTTTAAATGTCTTACTATTATTGGCATATTTTGAGTTTTGATATGTTCATTAAGATATCGTAAAAAATAATTTTATAATAACACGAGTCTACAAAATATTGGACGAGGACTTGTCACGCTACAAAACCAACACATGTGATCCGAAAAAATAATAGGTCGAGTATGGGACGCCAAATAAATTAGATATGGCACGCACTAAACGCATTAAAGCGTGAGTAACACAAAATTAGGGCCTGGAACCCAGGCTAACCTACGTCACCTACGTCCTACAATCTGATACTCTGCCTCTACTGTGCTAACGCAATTTAAGTAATGAATTCTCACTTGTGTTGATCTTCCTCGTCCTCGTCCAATATTTTGTAGACTCGTCCAGTATTTTGTAGACTTTCTCGTTGGTGGCGCTGTCCAGAATGAAAAAACATAAAAAGGGATCGGATTCGTGGCAAGTCCTCTCTTTGCTTTTGTTTGACTATTTTACCTGTTTAAACTTTTGTTTTACTTTACAGTATTTTATTTAATTGTATCTCATTTAATTGGTCTATATACTTTAACAGGAAACCATATATTATACTATCCCATTAATAACACCAAATTATGTATCCATTTATTTTACTTCTATAAATTACCTCCAATCACCATCTCTGTTATATTGTAACCATGGGCCTTTAATTCACCCTTTTTTATGTTGTTCATTTTGTTTTAAATTTGATTTCATGTACCATCAGGTATTGTGAAATATCATTATTATTATTAGACGTAGGTAAGAACGTAGGCCTACCACTTTAGTGAGTGCGACTGATACAACCGCGTGCACTAAATAATTGAATAAAATGTATTAGTTATAAAATGACCATGTTAATCACTAAAATAAGTCAAAACGTGACGAATAAGGAATGTATACATCCATCACAACAGCATTTACTGCATCAACATTATTAACAAAATTATTATTGTCATGTTTTTAATTTAAAGGGTAATTTGACTTTCATTTGCAAAAGTCTTTTTAAAATAATACACGAGCAGTATTCAGTATTATGCTTTAGAATATTCTGTTATTTCAATACTTGCAGCATTTGGCCGACTGACGGGCATCTCAGAATGATTATTTCCTTAGTGGATTCATAGGGGGTGATGGTCGTCGACATCTGGACCGGCCCCGCAACCTAAGAGTGCTTTTTAGCTGGCAAAAAAGGTGTACAGCTGTTGCGTAAATAGTTAGCAGTTATTTTTTTCTTTCTTTTTAGTTGGTTGTGGGGGGGGGGGGGTCATTTATGAGAATAATTTTCAACCTAATATCATTGTTGGTTTTTCAGTCTCTCAAAATGTGGGAGAGTGACAAGACAAAACACGGTTCCCTGTCATTCAAACTTGTTGTATTTATACAGGGCGTTATCCCTCTTGCAAATAATCTGCTCACAGCCTCACAAAAGTTACTTTTTGCGAGTAAATATAAAGAGGAATCTGTTGCAAATGCATAGGCCTACACTTTATTGAAAGGGGTCACTGGGAATTTTCCGCACTCGCGGATTTCTCTTTTCTGTTAATATATTAACGCTCGACCACGCCCACTTTGCTCTCGTCAGGGAAATCTTCTCCCGCGTTGGGGCATCCCCCCCTCCCCCCCCCCGCCCGTCGGGTAA